TTTTTATTAATGTTAAACCATGATCTACTAATGATGTTTATCTAAGCCTGCAAAGCAATTAATAACTTCTTTTGATCAACCAGGGCTAGCTTTATTGATATAAAAAATAAAAACAAAATACAGAATAATAATATACATATTCAGAAATTTTTTATCTATAAATTTTTTGATGGAGAATATGTTGTCAACATTATTAATGTTAATAGAGTCTGATTTTCAGTTACTAGCAAAAGACTAATTTCGTCCTTCATATCAACAGACATTGCAATAATTTTTTCTATCACAAACCTCATTTTAAGGGCATTCTTTAAAAATTCTTCAACTATCGGGCATGAGGAAATACGTAATAGTATAACCAACTCACATATTCGGAAAAACCGATAAAAATCGTCTTCAAATAAGTCTAATGCAGAAACGACTACACGATCTTGTATTACTTGGATACCTAAAACAGGAACTTTCCCTAACTTGACATTTATTGATCTGGCTATATCGGTAGTATCATCCCTCCTATCAAAAAAAATGTTATATCGTTCATTAAAACAATCTTTGCAAATACATACCAATTTTTTCCAGTTGATAATTTCTTTATCTTGTTGAGGCAGTAATCGTGAAACCTCAGCAAGTACTATTTCATTTTTCACTGTGTTAAGCTTTAACAAAACTTGTAGATCTGGCTTCTTTCCTGAATTCGTGGCTTCCATTCATTCTATCCTAGACTGTGATGACTTGTTTGTCTGCTCAGACCTATACGTATTAAAATTTATGTATAGCATTTAGCAGGTATTTACATATTTATAATGATCATTATAAAAATAATTACAGTATATATATTATCATGCACGTTTAAGGGACCACTTCGAATATGTGAAGATTGGATCTAAAACCTTTGATACAGCATGAATTACATATGAGTTCTCGCTGTAATCATCTTCTATTAATAATGGTCTCAGACTCCAAATATGTTGCCTGGAATTAGAAATACTCTTAATTAATAATATAACCTTATATAAATATACACATAATTTAACGCAAATAACTTACAATCCTTCTAACAAGTCAAAAACCACCATCAGTATACGTCTGGATTCAATTGACATTTCTTCTCGTAGAAAGGCTATTGGTCGCATTAACATAGAATCAAAGTTAGGTCTCAGATCTTTATACATGTCTATGAAATCATCCACTATGAATTTAATTTCTTCCGGAAATTCATTATTGCCAAACTCATGGTGCATCAAAATCTGCTTAGACCTAGACGATAACAAATTTACAAATGGGTCTTCATTTTTGGAGAGATCAATAATACCAGATGCTAAAGGAACTTCTGGTTTAATTGTCATTAGATCTAAGCATTCCAAATGATGAACAATTTCGGTATATGCGACCATAGTAGCTTCTGAGCAACTATTTTCTAGCTTAACTCTCTATAGATAATATTTCCCAATTAACAATAAACACACCAGAAATCGAAATTATGATATTTACTTACACATCCGCTTAATATAAATTCTATATTCTCTTGAATTATATTAACATTACGTTCCTGTTCCATAGCTTGTCGCTATATTAGTAAAAAATGAAAAAAGATAAGTGCTTTTCGTTTTGGATAGTATGAGGTACATATATATTTATACTTACTTTCTCCTTTTCTCCTGTCCAAGCTTCTTTATAAATTTTTTGACATTGTTCCTAAAACAGAAAAAGAAAAATAACTTAATCTAGTATCTTCAAGATAATATAATTATATAATATAATATATGAAATCAGCTATTTCAAAGTTATTCATTTTTTATAATATAAATGGGATCCATGCCCACGGTCAGTGACGAGGTACACAAGGCATAGCTCATACTGAACCTAGTGTGAGACCTATACCGGAACGATGAACCCCCTGAACTGCACCCTTTGATGCTTACGGTGCTAGCATTCTGTAAGCTAAGACATACGCAAAAACTTTATCACGTACACTCGGATACAGACAGCAACATAGGTCTATATTGTTATTTTTCCATCCCCTTCTGCAAAATTGTTTATCATCTTTCAAAAAAAATAGATAACCCATTTTTTATTACATATCTTAGAAGTCGTATTAAACTGAGATAAGATCTCTACTAGCTTTTGCTTATTTTTTGAATTATTTGTCCCACACGTAGTTATAGCTTCTTCTAGCTCCTAGCAGTATTGAGATTCTGCTATATTAACATTGTTTCTTCTCAAAGTCTTAACCTTCAGTAGATAGACATTTGGCAACCATTCTTTAAAATACAATACATTGCTTTGTTGGTTGCAGTTAAGGTAAAAATAATTTTCAAACATTTTGGAAGCAATAAATGTTAGTTCGATTTTTTAATCACTGTAAAGCAATAAACTTTCATAACTTCATTATACTCCCCTTTATAAATGGATTTCGCTCTTCTCTGAATGACAGTACAAATGACAAGAGAATAGCAGAAAAAGGACCTATATGTGCTCTACACTATTTTTTTACATTCTACATTACACTACGTTGGTCATAGGATGACTCTTAGGCATGTGGGATGCAAGTTGAAGCTCTCGAGATCTTCAGCATTACGACGTAGAGAAAGATCCCTATGTATTATACTTTGCCCGACCACCTAGTAGAGCCTTTATTTTTTATTATAAAGACTATAAAAGCAGAAATATATATGTTTTGGTTAGAATGAATAAATTTTTGTATCGGCTTTGGAGTAGATCTAAAGCTTGGGTATTATTTTTCTATGAACGTTTGTAAATAAAATTCAAAAAAATTCATATAAAGATTTGGTTGCACAGATAACGTATGTGTCATGAGATTGTTGACCGAATTTGGATTAGGGTACTATTTCAAGAAAAACTTAAAAATGGTACTTTTTACTTATTTCACATAAGTTATACATAATGATAAGCCTCGTAAGGTATTATAGTACAGATAAATTTATATGTATGTGAAATTTATTCTAACATGTTATCGCATTCACACCACTTATATATTCCATTCGCTACTTTTTTGCATATTTTGCAATATAGGTGAGAATGGTGATTGCATTCGTCACAAACATTACACCCTCTAAAGATATGCCACTTTTCGATATAATTTTTATTTGTAAGTAAACTATGTTCTTTCATTGTTATATATTAACAGAAAAAAAATAATATTTATATGGCTAATTTTTTATCAAACCTGCACTTTGTGTGTTAATGAATATTTTTGTATATAGTCAAATTATTGAAAAAATAAAAACTTTATTATTTACACCTAAAGAGGTGTGACATCAGTTGTCACAGTGGCGCAGTAATTTATTTTTAATCAGATGCTTTTAAAACCTTTGCTATTACATAATCAATATCATCTAGACTTAGATTTGAAATATTTGATGCAAAAAAAGATTTAACACGATCTATTATTTTTTTACCACCAATACTATTAAAAAGGTTGAAAACTTTTTTAGCCCTTTCTTTTCTTTTTCGAAGGTTAGTCTCAGTAATTTTATCTTGATCAGGAATATGCTCTCGGATTTTATCATTAACTAAAGCATTAGACGCGTCCTCATTATTAGATTGCCTGTAAAAATCATACCATAAATTATATCCTTTTCCGAAATAATAATATGAATGTATTACGTCTTGATTGGTTTTTTGATTATTATCTTCAGCTTTGATAATCTTTTTATTTAATTTATGAAAATTAACTGAATCTATGTTCATTTCAGAAATATCTGACTGCAAAATAATAATGTTTTCTGATGAAATTTGCCTGGCAATTGGAGTAGTCAATTCTTTAATTAACTTTTTTAAAGTTGGTGAACTATCCCTATTAACTGGCTTAATTTTTTTACTAGAGAATTTTTCTGTAGAATCACTACCCTGCTTTTTACTACTAAGATTGAGAGAATTAATTGGTGTTTCTAATGATATTATAGGCTCAATGACCTTATCACAATTAGGACATTTATTTTCTTTCGTAAGTAAAAATTTCTCAACACAATATCTGTGGTATACATGACCACATAAGAGAATTGTCAATGGTTCGTAGTTGTGTATAAGAATTTTTTTATCACATTCTGAGCATGTATTAAGCTCTGTAAATTCTTTATCTCGGATGATTTCATCATCAAGATTTTTTAAAATACTATATGCAAAGGTTCAAAGATCAGAAAGAGACATTACAACAAGTAGACCCAGATAAGTTTTACAACCAAAATTTCTTTATACTTAGCTCATTCTTATATAATATCTACTACGTACTAACAAAACCAATTTCGGATTTGTTGATTAGTCCATTTATAAATTATTTTATATAATGAACTGAGTATAGATAAAAAATAAAATGAATTAGTTTCTTTTATTATAGTAACTAATTTATTACACATAATATATTACTAGAGCTAATATGACTAATACATTAAAAAAACTGACATTCATTCATAAAAAAAATAGATTCAAATCTACAAGTTAGACATAATTGCATTTTGGTATCAGATACCAGTGACTTATATGACATATTTTGAATGCATTCATATATTTTGCTTGACATATTGAGAATCTAGGCCACTCATTACATTATTAGAAGAAGCAAAGGTTCGAGTCTCAGACTTATTTGAATAGTATTTCTTTATACGCTTTCTTGAATAATATTTCTTTATATACTTTCTTGAATAGTATTTCTTTATACGCTTTCTTGAATATTTATCTATGTTATTAGGACTAACGTCTCTTTTTCTCTTTCATAATTTGGAAATGACATGATTTTCATATCCAATTCTTTGAGAACTTATATATGAATAATCTATATCATGGTAAGGTGCTAATAGATGCTTTATTAGGTCTGAATCTTGCGCATTCTCTTGTATAAGCTCATTCGAATTTTTATTGACAGACAAGCAGAATAAAGAAGCCTTGGTCACGTTTCCTATAGTATTCTCTTTTGTTACTTGAGAATAAGAGACATTTATTTTTAATTTGGGTAATGCACTAAATATTAAGTTTATAATTTTTTCCATTCTTTAGAGTGGGATCTCAAGGTTTGTGAGCACGCTTACACTTATCATTAAATACTTCACGAGAAGACACATTTGTTTCTATTTTAGAAGCAATTACCAAGCTATTTGTTCAGGTTCAAGTATCACAATCCATCATATCAAAACTGTTTATCATGGAAGTAACATAAAAGATTAGTACAATATTTTTATTGCAAAAGAATTATGATCAGCAAATGATTAATGTATCTTTCGGTTTATTTATTTGCATAATTAACAATTACAATTAAAATTTCTATATACTTGACTCATTTTTATATACTATACTTCTTGCAACTAATAAAACCAAATTTAGATACTATGAAAACTAATTTCAGATTCGGTGATCTGTTCATTTACGAATTTTTTAGTATAAGCCAGGATCGCTAGATCTTCGATGGCAATCGTGAAAAAAAGGGGCATACATTTCATAGATTTTTATTTTACATCGACACTTTTCTACCTGTGTTAAAAATCTTCTGAGTTACCTCGAATTTTCAAGTTTATTAGCATTTTGATAAAACCGATCTTGAGCATGTTTCATTAATGGTCTACCTAGTTGATAAAGCCATTTCTTTACTGCTTGCTGGATTATTATAGCAGAATTTATTCATTTTTTCCATAAACAATATGCTCGCTGAATGATAATAGCTAATCGATTTTTTATATACAAAGCTTTAAAATATGCTACTTGGATTAAAAATTCTCCAAATTCAGAGTTATTAGCTTTGGATTCATTTCTAGTTAGATTGTTTTTTATGGGGAATACAAAGTTTTTCCAATAATTCTTTCTATTAACATCATATCCTAGTATTAATAAACGTCTACATATATATATAGGTGGATGATACTTTGCAAATTGTAACCAAGCTTCTGGTGTTTTAAAATTATTGATATAGTTTAAACCATATTCGGTTAACATGTATCGGGTATAATTATTTTTTGTCTATTCTTTACAAATATCTTGAATATTGAGTGAGTTATATGAATGCATTATATATCAAATATATTGTTTTATCTAACTAAGACATTTTTATTTTATTTACTAAATTTTCACTACATGTATCTTAACTGATTTCTCTACTAGATAAAAAAAATAAATTGTGAAGGTTTGCCGAAGATAGCTAGATTGCCATTGCTTTGAGCACCTGTTCTACTTCTTTATCTGACCTAAAAAATAAAAACGCCTTCATATATTTATTTTATCGAAAGAGCTAAGATATGATTTAGAATATAGCAGTTTTTTAGAAGCTAGCTAGCATTGAATCAATTTCTGCTATTTGAGATTCAAAGGGATTAGAATTATTGTTTTTAGGTTGGAATGATGAGGCCTGAGATCCAGAGATTGGACTAGGCGCTTGGTCAGATTCGGATTCGAGGTCAGAGTCTTCTAATTCTGTATCGCCTATAGCATAATTCTTTCCCGCATCTAGACGAACAATCTTATGCCTCAATGCTATTCTGTTAAGAAGATCAAGATGCTGATGAGTTGGGTTTGGACCACCGTGAACTCTGCAGGCATGTTTTCCTTCTATTTTTCTTAATATTTTAGGCATGATTTTATAAGGCTTCAAAAACTTGCTAAATGCCCTAGTATTGTGCTTTCCATTTTTACTAAAGGTAGAATCACTTAACTTTCCAGCCTTTATAGCCTCTTGAATCCAGATAAGCAATGCTCTTGCATATTCTGAATTCTTCTCTATTGATAGGAATAGTCGAGGTTCTGGATCATCCTTATTTTCTCCTTTATTCTTAGCATATCCAGTGCAATACCAAGAATAACCATTTTTATATCATGCTGAAGGATTAGATGGGTCAACTTCGTAGTGATCAATCTGGAGGCTGGATACTTCAGCAGGTCTCATACACAACATCATTATTACATCTGCGAGATTCTGTAATAAGGGATCTTTGGTAGTATCAATGTTTTGAATTCTTTTAAGTCCTTTTTCTAAGGAGAAATGTGGTGGAATTTTTAACTGATTATTGGCTACATCTTGTTCAGTCCGTTCTTTCTGAATTTTGTTAGAAGCCGTGGTAACACCCGGAAGTTTAGCATAAATATCAATAGGTTCTTGAGCAATACTAGCTTTTGCCAATTCATTACGAAATAAAGAGAGTCGCGAACAGGAGGCAATGATTTCGTCATTACTTTTTGGACCTAAATCGAGAGCATGGATATAAATATCCCACTCATTACCAGTTTTGGCACAATAGAGAGCTCTTTTTTCAATGGTGAGCTTTTTCTTTCTTTTGTTTGACACAAGAACTCCTATTTGATTTTCTTTGAATAAGCGCCGATGGAGAGCCTCTTTCACATCTTTACGAGCCTTCCAATCCGGTAGCATAGTACTAAGCTCATCAGCATGAGCATGTAATTGAAGCGGGTTTGATTTGGCTGATAGGTTATATTTATTGAGGACCTGATCCAAAATGAAGGTAAAGCTATTAGTTTTGGGTTTTCTAGTTTTTCGGACAGTTGCCATGATAGATATGTAAATAATATATATCGATAAGTAGAATGAGATTATATATTAACCTACTTATTTTTTTTTTTTAATTCGAAATTAATTATGCTTTTTCCTCCTATACCCAGAAAAAAAAAATTATGTATTCCTATAGGGTAAGTAGGATATCGATTTGAAATTTTCTAATATATAGAATATAACGAAAAAAAATTATGTGGCAACTCAGGCTATATTAAGGTTTATAATTCATTTTTATTTTTTATTACAGTGTTCTCGCTATAGCAAGTATATGTTCTTGACCTAGAGCATCTGTTTTACTGAATGCATCATACAAAGCATTCAGTTTATATTTTGATAGAGTTAAATTTGGATGATGGAGGAATCTTGCAAGTATATCATTTCTCCATTCCTGAGTTTCTCTATGATTCCAACACATTTCTAATAATTGAGATAAGTTATATCCAGGGTATCCCATCTGAATCAGATTATGTAACGCAGTTCATCCATTTTTTTCTATAGCAAATAGACACATTCCTCCTTCCACGGCAGTACTTACAGAAATGGGGTATCTTTTACATATATCCCTCATTTTTGCTAAAGTAGAAAGAGACGGAATCAAAGCAGAATAAAAGAAGTCAGCTAAGGGATAGATTATACCATATTCATCTAGATCTATTAGCGGAACATCATCTAAATAATGTGAAAGGTCTTTAGTATATTTATAACCTTTACGCAACAATTTTTGGAATAACTTTCCATTCTTTTTGATCCAACGACCTGTAGATAAGTTGAGAACTTCTTCTGAGATGTCAAAATCTTGGTCCTTCATTTTTTAATGTGGTATATATTACGAAAGGATAAATGTATTCTAGAATACTAAATAATCATCTCGAAACTTTAAATTGATTTTTTACATAATTGATATTAAAAGTGAAAGGGTTTATGTATATTATATCCTAAAATATTCTGAATGGAACGTATTACTTGCCAATATGTTAAGAGGGATGGTACATTTTGTGGAAAAATTTGCACTCGGCTTTCTGGGTGTGGTCTGCATTGGCGGATACCGGTAAAAAAAGCTTCGAAAGAGTTATGTAAAATATGTGAGAAACCTACCTCATCTTATACTGGCTATTGTGCAAATCATGCTGGGAGAATTTACTCCTATGAATATCGAATTAGGCACAAGAACTAGTATATCGTTGTCTCCAAATTCATATACATAAGCAATTTCAAGTGATACAAAATCCCCTTTACAAGTATTTTACAATTTTTTTTTTGATCTGAATTTTTATATCGTCTAGTTGTAGGATCAAAAAATTCTTTTTATATCGAGGATCCTACCTATTGTAAAGGAATGACCTTTCTAGGTCTACAAAACTCACCTTTATTCGTTCCTTATTAACTAAGCAATTATCATAACATACCATTTTCCTGGAGTATGCTCACTGTTTTTTTTCATTCCTCGTCGGTATTGAGCCATGATGAGGTGATTCCATCTTTCTTAAGAGAACAGCAAATTATTTCTTCACTTATTAATCTTTCTTGCACTGACATGTTCATATATTCACTAGGATCTTCTTCAGCCTCCTTTGCATAACCACACATTTTCGCATCAGTCTGCATTCTATCACGGAATGCTATGGAATCGAGCTTATCTTTTTCAGTAATGGTAATGAACTTATCTGGATCCTCTCCAAGATTGATAGCTTTCTCATGAAGACGTACCTCTCATTGCTTCCTGGTTTGATATCCTGGCGGATATGATATCTGCAAGGAGGGTGAATCGTTGCTGGATTTTGGTTCATCATTTGCTGGTAAGTCAGGAGATATCTCAGGCTCATCATTCATTAATAAATCGGGATCATCTTCTACCAATTCTTCGATAATTTCTGAAGATTCAACTTCATTGTCTACAGATTCTACATGTTCGATTTCGGGAGGCAGAGATATATTGGTAGACTTGGACGACGAAACAACTGAACTTTCTGGTTGTTCTATTATTGAATCGAAGAGAGCCTGGGTTTCGTTAGTAACTGGTAGAATAGGAACAGGTGATGAATCCTTGCTTTTTTTGATGCGATTGGTAGCTGATAACTCGGTTATATTTTTTTCTAGTTCTGGAGTTACGATTTCTGGAACATCGAATACAGGGATATCTGTGAATTAATTGGTGGATATTTCAGCTTGAGGTATGTCAGCAAATTCTTCTATATCACTAACTGATTCTCGTAATTTTACTATAATCTTGAATCGGTTAAGAATATACTGCCATTCTCTTTTTCCACCACTAGCACATTTTCGTTCAATGTTAACTTGTGGGATTTTTTTTCCAAAATTATTATTACTGAATGGCTTTTCACCATTGGTTTCACACCATGTGCGATACTCCTGATATAACATAGCACAACCTGGTTTTTCAATTTGGTCTTTTGATCATACCAAAATATAATCGATTATAAATCAGATAGGGTTTGCTAAATGCTTATGCATTGTTTTTATTTTCATCTTAGTAGTAGGCATATTTTTTTCTGGCTTCCAATTTGAAAGATCTTGATTAAGTAAGTATCCCATAAAAGATCCAGGTGTATCGGGATGCTCAAGAATTTTTCCCAATTGATCAAAATATTTAAAATTACCCTTACAGCGTGGTGAAACATCTAAACATACAATACGCCCATCTCCTTGCTCAACACGAATTGGTGCATCATGATTGCTTAATACTATAAATCTGGGAAAATGTCCACAATCTTGATTTTCAAGACCCTTGCGTTCAATTGAGACGTAATCTTCTGTAATTAGAGATTTTAAGTGATCGTTTACTTATGCCATTTTCCATTTAACATTCTCACTTCATTCATAATTATAAGTTTACGTCCTTGAATACTACTGTTGAATTTTCCCAAAATTTTACCCAAATCGGATGTTGAATATACAAGCTCTGGACCAAATAAACTTTTTCGAATAAAATCAGTAATGATATTTTTTTCACATCATAGTGGTGAATGCAAAACAAGAACTGTTCCTGGAATTTTTGCTGGATACTGAACTAAAAATGCCAACCACTTGAGAACGTATATGGAAAGAACCTTATTCCTGGCACACCAGATATTTTCTATATGCCAGATTATTGGGTTTACAAGATCATAATTAATTTGAAGTGCTGGTTTGGCCTTGAACCCTAAGAAGAGGTTGAAAAATTTATTTTTTGGTTGCTCTATATTAGGTGAATATGGTAAGAAATCGATATTATCATACATAATCGCCTTGCTGTCATATATACGATCTATCAAAGAGATTAATTTTATTGGTTCTCCTTCAAGTTCTACTATATTAATAGTTATTTTACTGAAATCTAGAGTAGGTGCCATACCAAAGTATAATTTACTGTCCGGTTTTCTGTGTTTGAGAATCCATGTTCGTTTATCTCTTACCACACAAGCGAGTGTAGCCTAGATTGCATTATATACTTCATTCTGGGTAAAATTTTTCTTAGAAGTACATATATGAATTAAATCGCCCCATAAAAGTGGTCATTTGGATCTGAGATTCTGGGTCGCTTTATTTTTTCTGGGGTTGGAAGACTGTTTTTCTGTTCCAAGACTAATGCATTTAAAGTAAGTTTTAATGAGGGTTTTTTTGTGCCTGTCTGTGTTTCTTGATCTGCTCAATGACAATAATATTGATAAGTTTTCTTATTTCGAATTACATATGCATTATCACTAGTGTGATCTCAATTACAGAGTGGACATTGAGATTCTGCTATACGATTTAGAGGGAATATATTTGGAAGTGTAGGTAAAGGATATAATACTCCAAAACCTTCGATTTTATACTCCTCAAGTAATTTTTCTATGTATTCTACTTCAGATCCAATGCTTCCGGCATCGATTTTATTTTTTTTTGGCATTGACCTATTTTCGATTGATGTTTTTTCTTTCAGTGTTTCCAAGATAGGACTATCTTTTATTTCTGCATCATTATGAGAAGGACGAAGCATAAAGTCGAAAATGGTACCATTTTTAGGTATAACTGCTCTCTTTGGATGAACATGCTCATTGGTTTCTTTGATAATCTTTGGTGTTCCAAGCATTCGTAAGGAGAATGAACTTTTATTTGCAATATTATCAACAATTCCATTGGCTTGTAAACCTATTGGAAGTTTTTTATGGACAAGCTTAGTAAACACTGCAACTTTGGTGATATTTTTGAGCTGAAGTCCGAAAGTTGATATATGGTATGACATTTTTTTCTGATCACTACTATTGGCAATAGTTAAGGTTTTAATATCCCAATCTGGATAAATCTCAATACATAGCTCTCTGAAAGCCCTGATTAAAACATAATAAGCTTTTTACATGTAAGTTTTGGTTCGATTTTATTTAGTGTTTCTTGAGATAAATCAAAATCAATAAAGGGACGAAGTGGATCATTTCCATCAATGATTTCATGTAGTGAATGTCCCTGATGCTCTGTAAATATAGCTTTTATTTCATCTTCGGAATCTGTACCGAGAAATTGTCTTGGTTTTATACTATCATCACGAATTTTATACATATATTCAGCTACACTCTCGGCTTTGGGGCCCTAGCAGTAGAATGCTTCGCTATTTTCTTCCTCTAGCTTTGACTCGAAATTCTCCAAGTTTTCCGGACTCTCTGGCTGGAAAGGTGGTGCTTCTGCCTTTGCCAGCATATGATTAATATTTTTTTGGAAATTTTGGTTATCCACAGTTGGTACATCGGATGATGCGGATTCAATAGGCGTGTTATATTCACTTTGGGTACTCATATTATTTTGATGATATAATATTCGAGAGAAAAAAGTTCAAAATGAAAATTAATTCCAGAATATAGTAATCGATACATATTATTAGATATTACAAAGCAGTTATATTATAAATATAGCATTCTATCATTGTCCCTATATCCTTAGAACTGGAGAAGTTTGTAACCAGGGTTGCTATCAACCTGAGGGTTGTCAAGTTCACTGGGATTCTCCTATGCGCGTTCCTTGCAAAGATTGTAGTAAGTTAACTTTTTCTAAATATGGTACTTGTGATATTCATGCTAGAAAACACTGAAAAATGGAGCAATACTATCACAAAAAGCTGGAGAAAATGGCACAAGATGGTATTGAGATGATAGGAAAAAATATATAGATTTTTAGGGCATAAGTATGTATATTGGAGGCATGTCCAAGTTTTTTTCTAGGATGGATTTTTTTCTAGGACATAAGCTAGGATGGAAAAAAATATACCTGTCGGCAATTTTAAACCGAACGAAAGAGTTTTAGACTACCCATCCCAGTTGTCCCAGTTGTCCTAGTAAAATTGAGATTTTCTTATCTTTTTTTTTTCTTTTTTTATCTATAGGTATACATAGTATATATATAACATGTATAGCATATATATATCATATGTATATAACATATATATCATAAGTAGATAAGTTTTATTTTTTCTAGATTATTACTTTTTACTAGGACAACTAGGACAGATATATAATAAATATAAAGGAACAAGATAAAATATTTTTTAAAGCTTTTCTTCTATACCGAATCCGTCCCAGTTAACTTTTTTTTACTAGGATGAAACCAGGACGGAATTTTTTCTAGGACGCAAGCAGATCCATTTTAACCGCATTCTAGGATAGCAATCGTAGGATATAACTCATATTTGGGTAGGTAGGTAAACATATATCTGCTACTAGTGACAATTTGTGACAACTTGTGACAAAAATCTAGCAATCAAAATCGGCATACATATTTGGTAGCATTAATCGATAGCATAACCAAATAGCATGTATATAGCATAACCAGAAATCATGTATATAACATAACTAGATAGCATACCCGATAGCATAACCAGGTAGCATGTATATAGCATACCCGATAGCAATTAGATAGCATTAATTGACGACAGTGTCGCATTTCTGTCGTTATGATACATGATGACAAATTCGTAAACCATTCATCACTCGAATGATGACGAACTCGTAAACCAATCGTCACTTGAATAATGATGCATATATGTCCCTGTCATCATTTGTTATCGATCACTAATATATCTTTGACGATGCAAATGTGAATCGTTCGTCACTTGAATGACGGAGCAAATACTAATATATCTCTGATGATGCAAGCGTGAATCGTTCGTCACTCGAATGACGATGTGAACTCAAATTTGTCAGCACTCAAATGATGATGCAAGTGCAAATCGTTCGTCACTCTCATAAGTAGGTAACAACCTAATGTAAGTAGGTAGCAATATATATATATATTGCTACCTACTCTTGCTCAAAGGTAATTGCATCACTTTCTTCATAAAGGTCAGCATCATATAGTATCTTTCTAATATCCTCTGCTAATTTGTCTATACTATAATATAGTAATTCAAATTTATTGTTTGCAATATAGTATAAATAAATTTGAGCAATTACATCTAAATTGAAAGGTTTGTATACTATTGTTCATAAATTTAACTACAAATTGACCAAACTTGTTTACAACTAGCTGCATGTGGTAAAATAGAAAACAAGTTAATAGCTAATAATCGAAGATATAAAAATTTTGATTCACAAGTTTCCTATCATATTTGAAGACTATTAATATTAACTGTATAAAATGCATTATAAGGTGTCTTTTGAACATGATAATTACATAACTGTGCTATTAAAATTTGGCCTGCTGTTTGTTTAATATGTTTTTTTTTTAATATTATAGTAATACTATTGGTTTTCATCATTTGTTGCCATATTGCAGCTACAGTAGTACTAATTCATAAAAATTGACCTTCAACAATACTAATGCCTAATAAATTTTTATAATATTTATTTATTAAATATAAACTTTAATATAAATACGTATTATATAAATTTAAATTATACTTGCCATGATATTCTGGATGCAAGTAATAAGCAAGTAAATGCTTATCAAAGTTAAACTCTTTAAAGCAAGAATTAAAAACTTTTATACAATAATAGTAAAACATTTTGTTTTCAATTTTTAATATTGTTTTAATAGCCATCCCAAGTTGTGCAAACTCAAAAAAACAATTAGCAAGATTTGCATCTTGTCTTTCTAAAAAAACAATCATATTTTTAACAAGTTTGAAAACATTTATTAAATTGTAAACATCTTAAAAAAATCCTCGTTTTTATAAAATAATAGTCTGAATCATTTTATTTATTATAATATTAGAATTTTTATTAATAATCTTTAAAGATAATGATAGTTAGTATATTTAATTAATAATATATATTTTGCTAAAATATAATATATAAATATTAATTAAATATATATCTCTTTTAGACATGATTCAAGTTGATAAATCGAATAAAGCATTTCATATACTGTAGTTCATCATATATTAACATATGTCTTTAAACCTTTATCTTCAATTTTTTTTTTCTTAATTATAGATTCAAGTAAATTTTTTGGTAAGTGACTCTTATTAAAATAAGATATAATTATAGTTAACCAATTTATAATTCATGTTGTGAAAGTATGCTTAAGCATATCTTTGATAACAAGGTTAAGACAATGTGCAATACAGCAAATATTAAAAATATGTAGAAATTTTTAAACAATAATTTGTTATGCTACCTGAATATTTGGATCTGCATCAATTACAATAGCAGAAAATTTGTAATCTCCAATATCATTTAGAACAGTTTCAATTTGTTTAGCAAGATATTGGGCTGTATGACTTCAATCAGAAAGATTAAGTATTCTTCAGAGTATATCATTATGATTAGAAGTATAAATAATAAAATTCTATAATGTTTTTCTGTCAAGGCTTGTTCAATCATCTAAAGCTAAAAATCATAATAATAAACAATTAATATAAATAGTAATAAATTTTATTTTTGAGAATTTACTTACCAAGAGTTAAATTTTTTTCTTTGTCTAACATATTATAAATTTTTGTATGAATACATAAGACTTTATTATCTAATAATGTACTAGCTAATGTCTTATAAAGAGAAGGACTATAAGCTGATCGCAGTTGTTGAACAAATTCAATAAAAAAAGAATGTTTTACAAGTTCCAAGAAAGTCTATTACAAACAAAAAGCTTAATAAGAGCAATATCAAAGCTTGTTTTTAGTTCATTATTTAGTGCTAAGCTTTCAAAATAGTTATTAATTTCTTGTTGATCCTCAGTTGCTTTTCTTTTATGTTTGTTTTAAGTTAATTCTTTTTCACATGCTTCTATTATTTTTTGTATAGCTTCTTTAATATGTGGTTTAGTTTTTTTGCATTTGACTATAATATGCTATTCTAAAGCTGAAGGTCTTTCTCTTTTTCAAAATGTATTACACTTACAAGAAACTAAACAATGATCTGAGTCTATTTCTTCACCTTCTTCAAAAAAACTTCAAATAGGATAACATGGTTTTTTACCCAAATTTTTATTATTATTATTATTATTATTATTATTATTATTATCATTCTGATTCATAGTTTCTATATCACTATCTTGACTTGCCATACTAATTTTTAACTTTCAAAAAAAAATATTTAATGAATTATAATGAAATTTTAGTAGTTATAAACTTTATTATTATTTATATACAGTATAGTAGAAATTTTTTTTAAACATTCTAATATTTATTTAACTTTAATATGATTAAAATATATAAATTAGATAACTAAAATAATGCTGCTGTTTTATTTAAACCTGTTGGTTCATGCTTAAAACTTGTTTAAATATTATTTTGAAGTATATTTATAAATAGATTTCAAAGCTGCTTTAATTATTTAAACATATGTATTAAATAATTATACTTTTGAAGAGTGTGGTAACCTAGTGAAGTGGATAGGTTGTCAACCTTCAAGTAGCAGATCTAGAGTTCAAATCCCAGTGACAGTGAAAATTTGCAATTCTTTCTGTGTTATAGCTAACTGTCTTCCATAATTGGTTGGGATAAGATACCTGTAACCTGTGGCATACTAGCATGACTGGAAGGTCTAGGCACTTGTACAATATTGTACAAAGGAACACAAACTGGTACCAGGTGGTATAAACCCAAGATAAGTTCTTAGGCCATGTAAATCAAGAGAATCAGATAGGAAGATAGAAGCCTACTTGGAAGACCTGAGTAAAGAGATAACCTGAACCTTCGACAATGCTATTGTAAAAACTAAACTTATGAAACAAAGTTAGAACTTATGAAACCAGGCAAATATGCTGGACTTTGAGAAGGAACCAACCAGGCTGCCAGAATTTCTGGGTTCTAGAAGAAAAGGGCACATGTCGACAAACATGTAAACCAGAAATGTATAGTTTTGACCTACATTTCTGGGCTATTTGGAATAGCAGCTTGGTAGAACTTGAATTGAATACCAAAATAGTAAGAATATGTTGTAAATCAGTACTGAAGTTGGGGTAAACTCTATAAAGGCATAACGGTTTAATGGTATGCCCTGACTGCAAGTGTTGGTTTCAGCCATAGCAATATTAGATCAGCTGTAAGAATAGGATACAGAAGATTCTAAAAGGTTTAGTACAAGGTCAAAGGTTTCCTATGTGAGTGAACCACTTTAAAGACTTAG